AGAGTTGGTGCTCTGTTGCATGCCAGACATGTTAACGTGTTTTTCTGGTTCTGCTTAGCTGCATGTGCGCTAATGCTATCGTTAGGTATCCGCCATTTTACCATTACTTTCATTGCCATATAACAGTGAACGCGGATGTGTTCTTCTTTGTTTAAATTCACCGCGTAAAAGCAACTCCTCGTCAACGTGGTGCGGTGGTGTACTCAGTTGTTAATTGGGCAAACATGTCTCCGGTTGTTTTCATATGGGTGAATAATGCTAGATAATAATCCATACATGAGTTGTCTATCCTTCCAGGGTAGCAACGAACGTGATGAAAGAAAGGATAAAGACAAATACCCCGTTGTGCAGTGTAAAACGAATAGAACGCTTATGATGAACCTGCAAGTTGCGCCATTCTATCGTCTTGTGCAATGTGCGCACATAATACACATTGTAAATAAATGAATGAATGAATATAAGGATTAATCTCGAATTTATCGAGGCACAGCAAATCGGGCATGATCAAAGAGTACACGCAGGTGTTCGCAACAGACACGTTGTTAGGTATGTAATCGGCAGTGGCCAACATATGTACTGGTTGCGGTGATTGAGGAATTAATCATGAGAAATAAAGTCTTCGGTGAGTGACGATACTTTGGGTTCAAGTGCGCATAGTGTGAACAGTCAAGGTACGATAAGTGTAGGGTAACCGACATATGTAAACAAGAAGATTCTTAGTCTTGTACAGTTCACGAGGTTGAAATATGACCCTTGTCAAGTTGCCAGTATGTAGTTCTCGGCAGTGACGTTATTCAGTGACGTGTCACTTCCACGGTGGTCGACGCAAAGTAGTCACAATCTATCGTTTAAAGCCTGTCTTTATGGAAGAAACCACCTCGCCTACTTCGTCTAGCAGTGCTTCGTGCGACGTCACGACCAAACGCATCGACTTTTCGCATCTTATTATAGTTCAACCAGACCACGACCCCGGTCTACAAGCTGCAGATATCCCGACGTCTCCCGAATCCAGCCCCCGCGTCCATGGCCAATAGCCGTGGTCCGGAGGTGCGTAAGCCGGTTCGGTTCCCCGAATATGTACAGTGTAAATAAGTTTAGGTTTGTATATCTTGTATATATTTGCCCCGTTTTTGCTCGAATAAGGTTTTGAAAACAAAGTAAAATACTGTATGTCATTACATACCATATCAAATCCTGTGTATTTGTAGCCTAATAGCCCCTTCGTTATTATCTACTCCTGACGATACAAACATCCGTAAATTTTACATTTGAGTTGCGCGGGTCTAGGACTCAATGAAAAGTAATCATGATCCGAAATGCTATCAAAAAACTTTTCTTTAATGTTATGAAACGTGTTCACGATACAAATGATCGCTCCCACTTATGGGGTCGTGTACCGTCCGTCGGTAAATATACACATTTATTTATTTAAATTTATTATTTATTTAATTATTTCATCCAGCACCGCTTGCAGACCATTCACCTGCCATTTTTCCTCTTATGCTACGTCACTGCAGCAATATCTCCTTCTCACACATTTCAGACATATATTTTCCCCTTCAAAAAACCTTTAACGCGTGTTTCATTTTTATGTATTTTTCCACCGACTTACAGCTCACCCAAGTTCTCGTCAAACCATTATTTGGTCACCTTCGCACCTAAAACATTCATTTCTCGTGCTTCCCATTCATTTTTTCGTTAAACGTCCTCATTCCTAGTATATTTCAAGGTGATGGCTATGCATTTTTACATCGTCATTCCACCCAATTGTCGTCCCAGAAAGCCTACGAACAGCTGCTGACCTTGCAATCTAGAAACGGTAGTTTAACTGGTAAACAGTAAGCATCTACTTGTGAATTACAGCTTGAAAATTCACCAATATTTGAATAATGTATAACAACGTAACAACTTATTACATTTTCCTTTATTTTTCTTTGGTGATGGTTCACCGGAACTCCGCAAGCAACTTCCTTCCCGCGCAAATATGACGCCAGCGTTGCCATATAAAGGCGATAGTGGATAATTCTTCTACAGGTTGTGGCTGGCAACTTAATGAGAAAATCGCAAAGGAAACGTTAAAATCTAATTAGCGCGTTTGGAAATCGATAAAAATGGTAAAAGTTATGGTTAAATGGAAAATTTGTACTATGTTTGTTTTACTTAACGAATATGTCGATCCGTATATAAGGGAGCGCGCTATGGATGTTACGTGCTTCATATTCGTCAAGGGGTCGGCAGCGAAGGATTCGGATGGGGATTACGGTTGCCGGTGGATGTTGCCGATACCGCGGTAGTACGTTACCGAAAGAGATGGCATATTTGTAAGTGAAGTACGTACGTGTTCATGCCTACAGGAAACGTGCTGAAAGCCGCCGGTAAGTGGTTTCATTCATCCAGCTAAAGCTGCCCATTTGGTTACAAAGACTGCAATTGTGCCGTTCATGTCATGTATCGTTTTGTCGGTGTCTCGCATAAGATAACGGATTACTTTATGCCGCCTAGCCATGCTTTTTACATGAAAATGCCGTGGTTATAGTGCGTAATCGCAAGCTCTTATAAGAGGATGAGAAGCAAGTTTTGGAGCTCATGCAGTGTTTTAAGAGTACGCGTGAGATAAGAGCTGTTGCGTCTGGTGCGTTCCAAGTGCAGTTGGAACTTGCAGACGTCAGGTCTATACGCAACCGGCACGCTAAAATTGAGCGGGGAAACGAAGCCGTTCAAGTGAAGAGGCTGCTACCGGGAGAAGGTATATGCGACATAGTGGACAATGACGATATAGTATAGCATTTATGTTTTCTACCGCGAAGCGTTATACCATTATGTAAGCGCTTTTGCGATGTCATCTTTGCAGACGCCACACATCAGTACAACCATGGTCCGTATGTGCTATGGCATGCCCTGCTGGTTGAAGAAACCGGCTCCGCTCATAGTTTTCCTATGCCTTCATGCCTAACGAAAGTGGTCAAAGTTACCAGGATGCGGTGCGGCAAATGACGTAGCATGTACCAAAAACGCGTAGCGTAAGGACCTTGATGCCAGATCGCTGCTTAGCGTAAATCATATATTCCAAATGCGCAAGTGATGCCCTGTCGCTTCCATGTACTAAGGGACATAAGTGTGGTAGAACATTTACAAACAAGTTGAATTAGGCTAAGTGAATCTAGGAACAAGCATCCAAAGTTCACATTAGAGCTACAAAGCGATGGCTTGGGTTAGATAGATCATTTGTAAAAAGTTTCCAACAGCTAACGTGATACCAAGTGGCATCGTCCAGATGTCCGCTTGGAGATACCAAGCAATGGCATAACTGAGGTAGACCATTTACAAAACGGGTACCTTAGACTACGTGAATCTAGGAATCATGGTCCAAAGTTCAGAATAGAGCTACAAAGCGATGGTTTGGCTGAGGTGGACCATTTAAAAATTGGTTGCATCGGGCTGCGTGTTTCCAGGTAGAGTCGTCCTCATATCAGAATGGAACTACCCAGTGATGACACAACTGAGATAGACCATTTGCAAAATGGTTCCAACAGCCTAGGTGATACTAACCAGTGTCGTCCACAGATCAGATTGGATATATCACACATGGGCTTAACTTAGATAGAACATTTGCAAAATGGTGGCATTAGGCTAAGAGCATCTAGGAATCAGCTATAAAGTTCTGTATAGAGCTACCAACCGATAGCTTTGCAGAGACGGTCCATCTACAAAATGGCCGCAGCAGGCTTCCTGCATAAAGTCGCATCGTCCATAGATCAGAAAGGAGCTACCAAGTGATGGCTTGGCTGAGATAGACCATCTATAAAACGGTTGCATCAGGCAATATGAATCTAGGTACCATCGTACAAAGTTCAGAATGGACCCAGCAAGCAATTTCACGTTCACTTACCCGTTGAAACAGTTAATGTGGTGCCTTCGCTGACGTATAACATTAACATAGCGATTGTAAATGGCTTCATGAATCACGGTACCTCAGTCAATTGTCCGCACTATGCATCGTTATTCCACATTAAGATTTTAAAGTCAATTCAGTAATTACTCATTTCCAGGATCATTAATGTGGGTCCCCATAACGTTGTTTATATATCAAGAAGATTCTCTTGCGTCTACTAGGTTGGCCAGGAAACGTGTCATTTACACGGAAAATGCAGCTCCGCATGCGCCGCCGGTTAAAAATAGTACCAAGCCACAAGCAAACCCTTTCGCAAAATCGCTTTTCACGCTGCATTCATAGCGTGCGTCACAGTAATTAGCGTTGGCAACTTCCCATTTAAAGACAGTAGTTTCTAGGTAGCCTCGCTTAAACTTGGAGGCTCATCTGGAGTAGGTCTCTTTTTAAGTATTGTAGCGCCCGAAAAGATAACTCTTATCTTTCGTGTACAATTTACTTGTTGACCGATTGTACATTACTCATTCTTGTTTTAATCTTACAACCGGATCGACACACAACTGCCTTGTAAGTCCCCGCGCTCAAGCGTACGCTCTTGCCTCGCTTCATCCGTCCGTTTCTTGTTGTAGCCCATCGAATACAGTCCGCTGTGTCCGACTCCAATTGCCTTCTGATATCCGCGCTTAATTCCGCGCATCGTCTCGGACTAGTATTAACTAGTCCTACAGTATCCAGTGTCACTTCGCATCTTCGGATACGTAGGGTTGCTTGGGTCAAAGATTGTCAATTACGGCTTCAAAACGCCCATTAATTTCTATATTGCCCTAAAACCGCAGGTAGATTAATTTCACACTTTATATACACGCCATCAATAGGTCTACCGCAAGCTATACGATATTCGCGCGGTAGAAGAATTCCGCGCTAACTATAAAGGCGACGGCCTATTTAAAATTCCCGCCACTTCAACATGAAGGTTGAAAAATACGTATTCGATAAAATACAGCACAGTCTTTTCATCATATTTGGCACATTTTAGAACATTGGGTTATGTAAACTTAGCTGTTCACATTGGCTATGGTTGCTTGTTTTTGTTGTTCAACTATATATTTACTTTGAACTGGTGGTAGCTCATATATATCAACAAGTGAGGAAATGGTGTGGTTGATAAAACATAATGGAGAAGTCCGGCCAATTTGCCCACTCAGAGGTTGCTTTTGTCTTGATAATAGAATGGGATGCTTTATTTGCACAATATTTACCGCGGTACTCAGTATTCTTTTCAATAACGACAGTACTTTATGCAGATCACTACGCTTTGCGCCTTGATATTTGTAACGTTGGATTTAATTTCATGGGGTGTTCCTGAATTTGTCATCGACAAAATGTTTCCGACTATTTGGCGATCACGGTTTTGGAAAGGTTCGAAACGAAATCTTCCGAATTTATTTTAGGTTTCATTTTGTGTGATATCATTATGCTTTTTGCAAACCTCATACTACTGATTATGTCGATTATACTGATAGTGGCGATTGTTTGGCCAACGAGATATGTATGCTTTGCAAGTTTTTTACTTACTGTTCCACAGCGTTTGTATCACTTAAAGCCATACCTTCGTGCGTGGTGTACCATCATGATTATGCATCTTATTACCGATTTAGGAGTTGGCCTTTACACGTATTCATGGTACGGTCTCGCTGCATGGGTAGGTGTGGTTGCAGTCCTAATCCTCTTTTTATTCCAAAGCGTGCACCTTACCTTATTTTCAGTGTGATGTACTTCATTGTTTGTTACGTATTGCACGTGAGTTAACCATAACATTGGTTTAGGCTTTTACGAATTTAACTTACATTTTTTGTCGCATGATCGTCGTTGTACTGTCCAATTCGTCATCGGTAATTGTAGTTGCATGTTTTGGGCAACCTGGGGATTAAAGGATTTGCACCATTCACCTGCATGACAAGGCACTCGGAAGCACAAGAGACGTCAATAGAGCAAAAGCTATTTTAGTAGCCTTAGATACAAATTTTTTAATTTTTAGCTTTGGTGCTTGGTAGTTTGCTGTGCTTACAAGGCTGAAGTCATTGCAGAGTTGCAACCAAATACAGAAGAGGAGGCCGTCTATACCTACGCTCCAGTATATACCAGGGATTCGGCATACTGATGCGGCTTATGCTTTTACTGTGCATTGTATTTTATGCAAACGGAAGCCACTTCTGATTCATTTTCATACAGGTTATGTTCCTGGTAGTCGGGATATCCTATTACTCAGAAGTGCGTCTTTCTCTAATTGGTGAAGGTGATCCTGAGGTGTTGCAAGAAGTAAACTTTCTTAATGATACGCCGAGCGCAACGTCCCCACATACGTACGCATTTCCACGTCTGTAAATGTTATTACGGCAATAAAACGTTTACTTTCGCGCCTAAATGGCGATGTATTTTTTCTGATCGTCACTGTAGAACATAATTTGTTTACTAGAGTAGGCTAGGTTAAAGACACGAAGTCACCATCTATTACCGTCTCGCTAGGCTGCAGTTATTAGATAGTGAAATATGGGGTCGCTTTCGTTATATAATTAAATGATATGCTCCATATTATTGTTTCGAACCGAAACCTGTCAATAATATCCATAGGTCATTTTTACCTGATCAATCAGATAAACGTATGTTCAACCGACATATGTGCTACTGATTTTATCCTTAAATTATTAGTACTTATCGGTTTGAGACAAAGCGCGTAATCAAGCGTGGACAACAGAAGGGGAATGAAGTCGAATTCAGTGGACTATAATAAAAGTGCTGCAAGAAATTGTGGACGACCATAAAGAACTGGAGCGAAATCCAGCTTGGGAGGCTACTGGGCGGAGGAATACGAGGGGATATGGAATGGATGTAGAGCGTGATAAAACGATAAAAAATATTGTATTATTGATCAGCAGTAAACAAGAGCTATAGGTTGCGGCGCTACGGAGACAACCTAGTAAGACGAACAAAATAGACCTTGATACTATTAACAGTGTGAGTTTTAGTCCACAGAACATAATTGTGCAGTGCAAATTGCGTGTGAATGTTTTACAGAAAAAAGTTAGTCGAAATTCTGGGGCTGCTGTGCCTTTTATATTTAATTACGTAACCAAATACAGGACAGGTGCCTTACACCTAGTCATTGAAGCATACTATTTTTAGTGCAACATCAACTGGCTTGTCTAGGGTAAGGCCAATAAGACCTTAGATGCTGCCAAAAGGTGTCCTTTAGAGTGGACTCACCTCCACACTGCATTTGCTCTGCGCAAAATGACATTCCTTCAAGAGGATGGTCCAACTTTACGATTGCTTCCCCGTTGCTATGCTAATTTTTGAATGTCTTGCACTTGAGCACCAGTCCTTTAAACGGGTGGATCGTGGTATGTGGAAGCGAGAAAAGTGAAACACACGGAACCAACCTGTCGAAAGGAAGGAAAAATGGCCTGCGTGCAACGGCACTGTTTAAGCCTAATTGTTACTAGACTATTTGCGATGTTTTATTGACCGATATTTTGTATTTCAAACTTAACTTAACGAAACCATAGCAAAGATACGCAACGTTTAAAGTATAAACGTATTTACGCTAACCAACATTGAAAAAAACGATCAGCTTTACGAACATCCTGGCGACGGCATTTGGTCCATGTAGGCAACAGATTAAGCGTGAAAGATGATGTCGGGAAAGTTGCAGCTTGTAACCCGGGAGGAGCGTCTGCTTCGGGAAAGGTATGATGTTGGAACTTGGTGTGCTTAGTTGTAACGCAGTAAGAAGCATTACTGGACGATGGACGCGTTGTGATGTTCCATAAAGGTTGGCTTTAGACGTTCGACACTGACAACTTTGTGTTGGTCACCGCAGTTAGTTGTGACTAAGTGTTTCGCACGATTTATAACACCCAAAGTTGCGGTGCTTCGTATCCTTAGAGGCTATCATGCACCTGCTACGCAAGGCAGTACATGTAAACATGCAGAGAGTTTCCTCGACATGTACACTAGTGCTTCGTCAACAGAGAAACGTGAGGAGCTACTTCGCATACCTAGTGATCTAAGTAATAGGTGGGACCTCCGTAGTAAAAGCAGTACTTGGAGGTTGCTGGTGATATCATCTGTTTGGGCAAATGTAGCCTGTTAGTATATAGTGTCATTGCTGTTGTTGCGTTAAGTAGATCTTCATGGTGTCTTTAAGCCTAGAAGGACGCGAAAGGCATTTTACACCGCGTGGGATCTGCCTGGGCTAGTAGCCTTGCTTATAGCTGGAGGTAGAATCGTGTGACCATGCAGTTAGCGGAGGATGACACGCCGTCATATGCTGGTGGCGATGTATCCTCAAACAACTTATCATATGCAGACGAAGCGCGTGGCTTCCGGCTGGTGGTCATAATTGCCGGACTACTAAACTACTTTATCCATTTACCCTGAAAATACTTCTGCCGCCGTTTTCTAAAAGAGATGTTTGGGATAATAATAGTCTGTACGCACCTTTTTAATCGGTTGAACAAGTCCGTAAAATGACTTGAATTCATCCCGCTGCCTTCTAGGCAGGCTATTTAGCCAAAGTCTTAGGATGTTGTCACTTAAGACAGCTCCCTACTTTGGCTTGGGCAACTGGGCAGTGTCAGTCCCACTGGCAAAGCCATGGACTGATCTTCTGTGATATTGCTCTTAGCTGCTTTTGCTCCTGCTTCTCACACCTCTTCTTTACACATCACCTGTTTATTTGTAACCAATCACGTTTATCCGTTACTAGCTGGTTACTGTCTCCATGATTTTATTCCTAGTGGTTTAGTCGACACTCACAGTGCTGGCCCATTCGCGATCTTTAGGCCTGGGTCCAAGTTTCATCTGACATGTATCAATGTATGTACACTCATTCCAATTGAGCAGCAAGTTGGTTTTGCACACACCTTGGAATCCCTCGCCATTGATTTGTGCTGTCTTTATGGAACGCGCTTGCAAGCTCCGAGTACTGTAAGTAATTTGAGATCTCCCACCGACCACGAAGCCAGATATTACCTACGTCTATCTGGTGACAAATATGCAGCTGCGGCAGGTATGGCTAGTGTTGGTGTAGTGCTAAGTAACAAGGCCGAGGCCACACTACTGGACTGCTTACGCAGTAATAGCTGACTGCTTACACTTTGGGTTTGGGGCTCATACAGGATCAACATATGTTGTGAGGTGAGACGCAAGTATTTTGTGGTCGCAGCTTACGCTCTAACTGACCGTAGTTGCGACTCAGTCAAGGACGATTTTTATCGTGAACTTCGCCAGCCCCCAAACAAAGCTTTCAAAACCGATATTGCTGTCTTTGCTGGGGATCACAACGTACGAGTCGGTCGTATGTTACCATGTGAAAGTCACCTCGGCGGCCACCATGCACTCGATAAGAGCCGCTTAGATAATGGAGAGCCTTCTCCTACTTAGCAAAGACAATCGTTCGTTTCTCTAGGATACCACCTTTCGGCATTCGAGGAGGCGTTCCATTATTTAGTGACCCCTTTCTGCGTCTCAGTAATAGTCTCAGGTGGAGCATGTCGCAAACCGTTTTAGATGGCGTGGTAGTGTAAATAGTTGTACAGCCATCTGATCTACTTCTTTGACTCAGACCATGCTCTCGTCTATGCGAACAGATGCATGCATTTCAGAGGTCTCCGAAAACAAAGCACTGGTAGGCAGACACCACGAAACTTTCTACTTTCTTAGTTCAGCAGAGCTAGCAATATTCCCTGGCCCTTACACTCGGTTGCAACGTAATGCAAGACATTGTTAAACACTGGGTGTTCATGCAGAATACCATGGTCTCTTCCGAACAGACAGTCCGTGATGTTACTCAGCACCCTATGAAGGCCCGGATCTCCACGCGCTTTTAGGATCTATTTGACCACCGCAGAAACATGCATGCGGAGTCTACTCATAATTAAATTTGCTCTTCTGTCAGTCGGCAGCTTAAACAAGGCGTACGAGGTGCCCTGAAGCCTAATGGTCACAGCGCGCTTCAAAAATAGAGGACTCCGCCCTCTCTGGCAATACTTGCAAGCGCTTTCATCTCATTCGATACACCGGCCAAAGGAAGGCTGGTGTCTTTGAGATTATTTACGAATCAAATGATTAGCTGATTGCCAATCTACAGCGTCGCTTAGAACGATATGCCGAGAATTTGCATCCCAAGTTTAGTTGGACACCACCGTCTACTTATATGCCCTGTGAAACCAGTTGCCGGCCCTGGGCCGTCACACCTGATCTACCCAGTAAACCGGAAGGTTGTCTTGCGATTCGACACATAAGAAGTTTGAGGCTGTCAGCCCAGATGCACCTCCAAAGGAGCTATTCATGTATGGTGGCGCAGTTATCAGTAACCAGCTAACCGAGTTATTCTCAAAAATCTGGCATGCAGTAATGGTGCCTTCTTCCTGGGACGAATAAGTTATGGTCCAGAATTTTAAGTATGGTGTTTGCACAAATGCGCTAGTCACAGGAGGATTAGTCTCATGTTAGTTGTATCTAAGCTACTGGGATCTATTCTACTTCATAGCTTATCTCACATGCTGGAAGCGCAGTACGGCGAAGAACAAGCTAACTCCCCATCTGGTCGCGAGTGCGTGGATCAAATATTCCTGCTCCACCAAATCTTCGAACACTGCCAGCTTTACCAGAGGCCCATCATCTGTGCATTTCTAGCCCTCTGGGCTGCGGTCAACTTTGTTGATCGCCCAGCGCTATAATTTGTTTGCTGAAGAAAGGAGTCGCAGAAAAGTACACTACCATCCTACGCGCACTCTACCTTCACATCTGCGGCAGCGTGAAGGTCTATGGCATGCTTTCATCATTCTTTGCTCTCAATAGGGGTGAGCCACAGGGCTGCCCTATGCTCTCGTTCCTCTTCAACTGTGCAATTAAAGACGTTCTTTTGTGAGCTCTAGATGGTTGCCAAAATTTGTTCTACAACTATTACCGGGCAAACAGCGACCAATTTAGATTATGCCTTGGATATCTCCTTACTTGGTGATGAGTCACAGAGTATAAAAACTATTCTAAACGGTTTGGCGATTAAGTCATATAGGTACGGGATGTACTTTACCCCGTCAAACTGTAAAGTGCTGCTTCAGAAGTTGCAATCGCCGTTTCCGTGCTTAATATTGAAGGCACATGTGAAACAAGTGGATAGCTTCGTCCATCCAGGCAGCTGTCTGTCTGCACGTGCTGAATTTGGTAAGGAAGCTCTTCTTCTTATCGCCAAAGGTTAATCGGCTTGTGTTAACTTGAAACACTTGTAGCATCATCCAGATGTTTCATATTTTGTAAAGGGTCTTGTTTACAATGACACAGTTCGGGTGGTGTGGCTATATAGAAGCGAGTCATGGCCAGTTCGCGTAGACGACATGCGCAGGCTATCGGCCTTCAACA